TGCCTGGGGATCGGGTGTCCGGCCTCGCCGCCCGCCCGCAATCGCGGCCGCTTGTATAACCAGGCGGGCTGCCAGGCAGGGCGCGGGGGGGGAGCGGAGCTCGGGGAGCAAACAGCAAAGGAAAAAAGGCAATAATAAAAGGGGAGGGGGAGGGTTGAGGAACGTGGAGGTAGGATAAAAAACGAGGAAGGGAAGTAAAAGAAGGAACAGGGAAGAAGCAAAAGTAGGTTACAGGAGGCTGCGTGCGTGCTGGCAGCTTGCAGCCCCGGGATGGCGTGCAGGCACATGGGAGTCCTGCGCCACGGGATTGCCTTCGTGGGAAGGGTTTGACGAAACTGCTTGGGCAACACTGAGAGCAAAGAAGGGGAAATGATAGTGGGCATCATGCTACTGGAAATGACAGAGTCAAAACATCTCGCAGAAACTCCTTTCTGCCCTGTCCCGTTTTCCCTAGAAACTTGGTAATTGCTTGGGAAGTTGAAACTTGGTTTAAATACAGGTGACAGGGAAAGTGCATCAGCAGGTGGAAATGGGGACTGCGCAGAGCTATCACAGCAGTGAGCAGTGGAAGGCGGCCATGGAAGAGCTCATGGTTTGGTTGTGCCTTGCTTTCAGGCTCCTCCAGGAAAGGTGGAAGAGGTGGCAAAGTGTGCTATTGATGCAGGCTACCGCCTCTTTGACTGTGCCTATTTCTACCAGAATGAAAATGAAATAGGGAATGCAGTCCAGGAGAAGATCAAGGAGGGAGCTGTGAAACGGGAAGACCTCTTCATTGTCACTAAGGTACAAGGATGCAGGATTATTGGGACATTTAGCTTTTCTCAGAAAGTAAACACTTGTTCCCTTCTTTGACTTTCACTTCATGGGTGTTGTGTGCTATAAATTCCATTCTTTATTTGTAATTTGGACTGAGCCTTATCAGGAACCATTGACAACTTAGGAAAGATAGCATGGCAATTGCTGATCTAATAATTTCCTTGCATCTCTTAAGTCACTTAACTATACAAAAGGTTCATTTGCATGAATCCTAGAAAGATCAGAAAAAAGAGACAAGTCAAGGTGTCTGAATTCAAAGGTGCTGTGCTGCTTACTGGTATGCAAGACACTTGGAAATGGTGTCATGTACAAAATGTAAGCCTAGAAGGGAAGAGATATTAAAAGTATGACTCTACTCCTTTATCTTATCCACTTGTCTTACAAATGCTCTTTACCTAAAAATAAGAACTCTTCAACTAAAAAAATTTCGACTTGGGGTTTTCATTAGCAAAATGAGAAAACTTTGAGTATAATTCAGCTTTTCCACGTACTCTTCGTTTTTGTTAAAGATCAGGTTTTAATTTGAATAATACTTGCAAGTTCTTCTATTTAAATGACTTTAACTTTCATTTCAGAAACTAAGTATAATTGACAACAGTTCTCGCTGTGGGCAGTAAACAGGGACAGGGGGAGGGTAGCTGTGAGCTGCTCAAGACTCGAAATTTACACTGAACAAAAAATTCTATCACTAACAGCCTTGTTGGGTCAGATACACCTTGCAGAGTGTTACATCTCTTTTCATGAGTAGGAATACTGACTGCCCAACTTCATGACTGAATCCTTATTTGTGGTGTGTTTGTCCTGCCTTATTATGAAGATACTGGCATCCTTGCCTTCAGTGTGCACTGAGTACACTGAGTTTTCCTCCCAGACCTCCAAGGAAGAAGCTTCTGTCCCCTGGTCTGGATTGTGGAAGCTGTAGAATCACAGTTGGGCTTCTTCCCACAGTTGTGGAACACGTTCCACGAGAGGTCCTTGGTTAAGGTAGCATGCAAGAAGAGCCTCACTGCACTGCAACTGGACTACCTTGACCTCTACCTGATACACTTCCCTATGGGATACAAGGTAGTCCTGCTCTATATCCCTCTTCTCTTTATCTGGCTAGAAACGTGGTACATTCTCTCATCTGTGTTGTAACTGTCTTCATTACACAGCTGGGATATGCTATGGTTCATTTGGGTCTTCCCTGAACCTTGTGGTATCAAGAATTCAGTCACTGAATTCTGTCACTGGGTCTCGATTTCCACACTTGTTAGGGTGAGATAGTTATAGGTATAAGCACTGCTATGAGCCCACTGGGTCTTCAGGGAAACGGTAACCAACACAGGATTGTGCAAATAGGGATCATGGTCTTCTGCTGGGCCGGAACAGTGTGAACATCTCAACTTTTGGAGATGTTGGCTTGGTCTGGAGTAATCAACAGTGGAAAATGAATCACAGTGCAGCAGCACAGTGCTTTCCCCCCCGCCCCCCTCATCTACACCTGCGTAAAAAGTAAAAACTAGAATAAAGAGGAGGGGAGTGGTACCTTTTCTCTTCCGTCTAGATTTGCCTAAGTTACATAATTACTACTAATTCCCACTTTTTGTATGCAAGATTTGTTATGTAGAAATATGGCCTTTGTCCAAAAAACATGTACATTTTTTTTTAGTTATGTAATATGTTTAAATAACCTGCTAACTTGCTGCCTATCAATCTGGTCAGAACTGCTAGTAAACAGTAGGAAATTCAGCTCTTAAGAAACGTCTATGTATTATCTGCCTTGAAATAACAGGCTGGTGAAGAACTGAATCCTGTTGATGACAAGGGTATGAGTATCCCCAGTGACACAGATTTTCTGGACACATGGGAGGTAAGTTAATGTTTGCTCTTTGGAGCAGATGTCAGCACTAAAGATGGAGCAGAGATCTCCGTGCCAAGGGAAAATAAAGAATAGGTTTGGGTGTGGAGGATAGTCACAAAAAGTTGTATTTCGTAATCAAAATGAGCAGAGCTGCTGCTACCTCTTGTTTTGGGAAGCAAGAGGGGGATGACTTTACTAAGACTAAAGAGAAGGAAGCTATCAGCACTGCAGGTGCTGTCACGAAAATCGTATTTGAATACACACAATGGAAGAACCGAAGCACGGACTAATCCAGGTGTGGTTGTTGATTTAGTGGGTGTTTCATACAGACGGCCCTCTCATGCTTTTCAGTGTTCTCTGTCAGCATCTTGGGCTGTCCTTTCCTTGCATACTGAAAGGATTCAGGATCTGCTGCTACTATCTGCACCTTTGTGATGCTGCAGCTCTGGGAATTAACAGTTTTCTCTACAGCAGCAGGTTACAGGTGAAAGAAAGTATTTTGAGGTAATTGAGTATAAGCTAACATCCTCCCTGCCATGTTCTGCCAAGCCAGAGGGAGTGTGCAGGCAGGGGAGAAGTCTCACTTGCTTTTTAAACTCTGGTAGAATGACCCCCAAAGAAGCAAAAAATTTTGCTTCCTACTACAAAAGGGTTGGCCAAGCCATTCTTATATTACTTTTCCATCTGCACTGGAACATAAAGCATATAGATAATACAAGTTGCAATCTAGTATGAGTTGTTTGTTGGTTTGTCGTTAGCTTTAGGGAAATAATGTAGTTAACAGTATTACCACCTCATAAACACATGTTGGTTGACCTTACTCATTAGGCCATGGAAGAGCTGGTGGACTGTGGCCTGGTAAAAGCTATTGGTATCTCCAACTTTAACCACGAGCAGATTGAAAGAATCTTGAACAAGCCAGGACTGAAATACAAGCCAGTAAATAACCAGGTAAGATTTTTGTTTCCACTGATGTCAATTAACCTTGAAATATTCAGCTCTAAAACTGACTTCTGCCATAACCTTTAAATAGTTTTGGTGCCATGGAAAGATCTTGCAAAGCACCAGGTATCTCTAGTTGTCTGAAAGACCAATTCAGTGCTGCCTGTGATAAGCAAGGGTTTGTTACAGTGTCAGTCTTACTGGTGTTTAGCTGACAGGGATCTCAACAGGGTGGGGGTTTTTTGTAGACATGTGTGTATATATGCAGTGGAGATTTGAGAGCACTATCATACAAAATAGTAGGGATTATGCATATCAGTAATATGAAAGAGATGAGACTATATAATTTTTAGATAGTGGAAAACAGTAAAACTATCCATTACCTTCTATAGGACCTTGTGATTTTCTGCTACATACCCTCTTTCACACACCCAAGTACTACTGTCAAAGCCCAAGTTGCCACACGCCCATTTTTTTTGACCTTGGGATAACAAGCATAATCCCCACTGTGAGCTACTGCACAGGCATGGGCATGTACAGAAATTCTCTTATTCACTGAACTTACTTATTTTTCAATATAAACCATTTCACTGTACTCGGTTACAGAGTGAGGGTTGAAGTATACAGTTATTATATAACAAATTCTTACCACATACCTCATGAATGAAAGAAATCATAGGACAGCAGTGGTGTCAGGACCTTCTTCCATATAAGACTTCTTTGCATGGAGCTGAGGGTGCTGAATGCCCATCTCTGCTGTTTTGGCACTACCCAAGAAGATCTCCAGAAGGTCCCGTGCAGGCACGGTGCTGCCTGTGCTGTGGTGCTGGGCTTGGGTCTAGCATATGTGCCAGCCAGGCTTAGCACAAGGTGAACATAGAAAGATTTTATTGAGGGTTATGAAGTTCTGGTAGAGACGGACCCAACTATCCCCACATTAAAATCTGCACCAACTTCAACAGTTTAAAGAACTTCAGGCTTTGACTTCAGTTTGCTTCTTCATGAGTGCGCCTGTTCCACACACTGTCATTACAGTAGTAGCCTAATCTAGCTCAGGACTGAATAAACCAATGTACATGGATTTCATGTCACCATAGCTGGCAGCAAAGCTATAGCGTTTAGAAACAGCTGAGTATGTGCATGGTGCCACATTATGCAGTATAGGCATAGCCCTGTGCTCATACTATGGCTTGTGGCAAGTTGAGCAGCATCCCCGTGCAGGCTGCTGTTGTTTCCATTTAAAGGATGTCTTGCCCAAATGGCTGGTCACAACATGATCTGGGCTAACCTAGGGAAGCTCAGATTCCCAGGCTTCTTTGGGAATCAGGGGGGCTCCTTGAAGAGAGATTGGGTGACTTGGAGCAGAAACTAAAGTCTGGGTATCCTGAGCTGCTCCTCTGAAGACGCAGTCCTGCTCTGCAGTAGTCAAGGAAGACTGATTTACGTGATTCCTGACAGATAGCACTTTCACTCTTCTCATCTCTTTCTCACTGTCTTTGCATAATACGGAGCATGAGGAAGCCCTGTTGTCTGTGCTAGTCCTCTAATTACTGCTGTGACATGAATAATGTTTTTATAAGATAATTTTAATCATGATATTGGGAGTCTTTCCTTCAATTTTTTGTGACCCAAGAGGAATTAAAATGTTATGCTCAGGAGCCCAGTGCAGTCTGCCGCTGTATCAACCACCATGCTTCTGTGCTTGCAGATCGAATGTCATCCATACCTAACCCAGGAAAAGTTGATCAACTACTGTCAATCCAAAGGGATTGTTGTGACTGCATACAGTCCCCTTGGCTCTCCTAACCGCCCATGGTAAGAAAACATTCTTCTGCAGCCTTTCCATACACAAATCCATATATTTGCAAGTTGAATCTTTGAGGCAAATGATGTAAATAATGCAGGTTTAATTGGAAAAGTGCTGTTGCTTTACTGCAGATTATTCCACAGAAAATGTCAGGCTTCCTGCAGGGAAACTAACATCTCTCTATCATGAATATCCTGGCTTTTGTTTTTAATAGGGCCAAACCAGGGGAACCTGTGCTGCTGGAGGATCCCAGGATTAAAGAGATTGCAGTTAGACATCATAAAACCCCTGCTCAGGTCAGTGGGGCTGTCAGGGCAAACCATTCCTCCTCCTCTATTTTTACATGACTGATGGCCAGTCTTAGCAGATGCTGCCTTCTCTAGAGATAAAGTATAACAGGGCTGAACTGCACTTAGCTCGTCATACTGCCCCAGTTCTTACCAGCATTCCTATGAATTATCAGATATTTTCTAAGAGGTCCTGATCATGAGTTTAAGGGAGGCGGGGAGGCTGACCAGCAGTGGTACATGCTTACCTCAGGTATTCCCCTTTCTGGGAAGAATTCTTCTGGTCCCAGAGAGAAGTGCTTGCTCCTAGAGAACCCCTTTCCCCTGAGATTTACCTACCAATCATCAAGCTAACTTGTTATTCCAGCTAAATTAGCAAAGTTATTTTTCAGAGAAGTCGTGTAATTTGCAGATTAATTTGATTGCTTCCCGTTTGCTCATGTTCACAAAGAACCATTGTGAGCTGGTTGATTACATAAGACGACTTTTTAATCTGTTTCTTGCTAGTCACACAGATGAGTTCTTGCCCAGGGTGTGCAGAAACTGCACTTCAAACCAACCCACAGGTTCATAAGCAACCAACCACAGTCATATTTTAAGACAGGCAGAGAAGAACAAAAAAATTGTATTCAACAGTACTCTTTCGAAGGGGGGTTGAGGGTGGAACTTTTAATATCTATAAATTTATTTTTCCTTTTAAGGACTTCAAAAAATTCCTAATCTAGGTGAAATACTTATCTGTGAGGCCGAAACAATTTGCAGTATCACTACGGTCTGAGCACTCATGTAACACAAGCCACAAGCATCATCATTCCTCCCCACCTCCCCTCCTATCCTAAAGGAAAATAAAACAAATCCTGGAGAAATCAGGATGAAGAAACAACAAAGGCCAGAAACAATTAGCTTGTCAGTAGACTGCAAGCAAATCCTGGCACATCAAACTCCTGTGTGCAAACTGGTAGAGTCTTCCAAAGAGTGAACGTGGTTGTAGAAAAGAAATTAGTTTGTGAATGAAAAAAAAAAAAAAATGGTAAGAGAGAACACAAAATGCATTTGAACAGATTTCTTGGTACCTCTGTTTTCATGCTCCTTCTTGTCCTTTCCTAGGTTCTTATCCGGTTTCTTATCCAAAGAGACGTGATTGTCATTCCCAAGTCTGAGAAACCTCAGCGTGTTAAGGAAAACATCCAGGTGAAGTTTCCGCTGGGAACTGCTGCTACCGGTTTACCCAGGATAGGCACCCACACCCATGTCTCCTCCGTGCTTCCAAGCAGCTCTTAAGAGACATTGGAAGGGGAGTGCAGAGGTGTAAAGATGGGGGATCTGCGCTACCTAAGCATCTGCACTTGTTCTCTGGGGAAAAGCATTTTGTTCCTGTCAGAAGAGAAATGGGTTACACCAGGGCGGTCCAAGCTCTGCTGCCCCAGAAAGGGAATCCAAGTTTTGGACTTGCCGCCTGGGAAATGCTTAGTGAGCACCTCTTTAGGATGTAAAGGAACAAATTGTAAACACCAGAGCCATTACAGTTTATGTCTCATTTTGAGGCTGTGGTTCCCCTTGGCAGGGAAGTTTAGGTAGATGTCTGCTCATAAGGCCTGGCAGTCTTAAATGATATCTCTGTGTTACTAAATTTTGGACTTCTCCTATGAACCACCAGCAAGAATTCTTAGATGGCTGATTAACAGTGAGACAACAGTTTGCAGTTGGTACTCAGTAGTCCTCTGTTGTAGCAGAAATATTTACTGCTAGTTCCAGTATTTGCAATACATGGAGTAATCCATCCTTGGCATCTTAAGTTTTTGTTCTGTGCATTACAGCACAAACTGTTTGCATTCAACCACCCAGAACTGTAAGACATTACTATGAACAGCACCTCAGAGAGAAAAGGGCTATTGATTACTTCATGGGTAAATTGGTATTTGGCTGAGAAATAAGAGGATTTTTTAACTGCTTAGTGTGGATGTAATATGTTCCTTTCCTCAAGTCATGAATACATGAAGCACATTACTTAGGTTCATGAGTAGTTAGCTACAAAAAAGGGCTATTCTTTTGTTTCCTTGGTAGGTGTTTGACTTTGAACTGTCTAAAAAGGAGATGGATGTCATCCTCAGCTTTAACAGGAACTGGAGGGCAGTTCCAGTGCCCCAGTAAGTTCCTTTTTGCTGTTGTTATCCACTAGGCCTATCTCTATCCATATTTCATCCTCCATGTCTTGAAAGCATACATGACCAAAACAAGGGAGAGATCATATCTTCAATCTTGCACTCCAGGTAACAAGACATGTCCTGGAACTGATGTCAGAAGGGAGGCTGGCTCAGGACATTCCCTTTGGCATCTTGGTGTATCATGTGCTTGCTCACAAGACTATGTTGAAATTAATGACAGCAGTAAAACTTGAGTACATTGGCAGTGGGGCAAGGAGACTGCAGCAGGGAAATGCTGCTGAAGATACTTTCTACAATACTTAAAATAACCAGTTTTTTTTCTTCTCAGAGCTATCAATCACAAGGACTACCCATTCAAAGCAGAATATTAATGCCAGTGGTTTCTGCGAGACCTCCATGTGACTCCTCCCAGATTAGAAGATGTACTCTGTAGCTTGGTCTTGATTTCTTCTTTTGTACTTGACTGTCATTATGAGCAGTTACTTCTCCTTTTTTAGGAGGAGGCCACTAGCTGGTAAAAGAATGCATCAATAGGGATAGAACTTTTGTAAAGACAATTAGCAGGAATCTGGTTTTCATTAACAGTAAAAAGACAATGTCTCTTCATTTCCTTTTAAGAAAAAAAGGAAATTAAGGAAAACAAGAAAGTTTTCCTTAATTAAAGACATGTTTAACAAAAAACCCTGGTTACTTACATGATTTTTTTTATACATTATTTCCAATGCAGTCAGTCATACTGGCTCATGAGTTGCTGTAAAGGAATGTTCTCTCTATTTACTTTGCTTTTTACATAACTGTGATTTTTATAGTGTGAATCTCTAATGTTTTGGAATTTTATATGAAGTTTGAATAACAACAAAACTTAATCAGTGTAGTGCTTAAATTGTTTCATAAAATTAGTTATAAAAACATGCCTGAAGTCTGTTGTTTGCTTTTTAATCTTAATACAGATAGAAATGAGCTTCTATAATTGCTGTATGAGGACAATACATAGAGACTACTTTGTGGCTTAAGCATCAAACAGGAACATGCTCTAGCTAAAGAACAAAGATACACCTGTTACCTCATGTAGCTCTCTCTGAACACCTAGAAACTGAAATCTTTTGTGATTACTGGTGAAAGGTTAAAGACAGCATCATACACAGTGATAGCACACATCAAAATCCACCCCACTGAACATAAGGACTACTTACAAAATCAGACTGACTAGCTCTAGTAGTCTCAAACATAACATTAGATTTTTGCAGTTCTGCCGGCAGCATTCAGAACAACGTGTCCAGACAAGGGTTGGTTTTATCTACGGAAAGCATAGAAAATATTCTCTTTAAAAGCACCAGAGCAAACCCTGAGGTAGACTCACAATTGCTTTAAATTATTTTCAGGTAGATATCACTAGGCCAAAGCAACAGCAGGTTTGAAAAAGGCTGTTTTGTGGCATTCCACACACTGACATGAGAACGTCTGGCTAGGATGCCGAGTAAGCTGAAGGGAACCATGATCAGAAACTAAGATGACAGTTTGGTATTGTCTGAAAAATCATCACCTCATAATGGTATCAAAATGCCCAAAAATCTGCTGAATCTGCCACTGGGGTATTTGTCTTCAGCGAATTCTGCCAGCAGGTGGTGCCAGCTGGTGGGAACAAACCATGACCACACCACTTCACAGTATTTCCTAAAAGTAAAACAGGTTGTGCCCAGCACGCTTCCATACTCTCAGAAAAGGCAACAACCGGGAGCAAAAGAAATTTATCTACATCAACAAGGAAAAGTGTCACTTCATGTGAGGTAGAACAGGCACACTTCCAAGCACACAAACTCGCTCCAGGTTAAACTAGGCAGCATCTGATTATTTCTTCCCCAGTAGTTCAGAAAGCTGAGCTTGCTGCAGCCTTCCCATGGCTTCCTGTGGAGCTGGCAGCAGCCTAGGGGGCCTCTTTCAGATGACCATGACCAGGTTAGAGTAGGGAATGACATGCTGTGATGCCGTTAGAGCAAAAACGAAGTAGATAGGAGGATGATGGGAGAGAAAGCAGCTCCCCAGGCTTGGTTCCTGTGATCATCCAAGCCTGGAAGCACATCCTGCTGAGATAGACAGAAGAAAAATGATGGCTCTCACACGGAAAACATTTTTCAAAGCAGGGAAGCCCAAGGCTAGGTCAGAACCTACTTTGGTGAGCATGCTGACTTCTGGATAATGCATAGCTCCCATCGTGTACTGATAAGCACAACTACTAAGATTTTTTTTTCCCCTCCCAAGAATATGTAGGTCAAAATTGCTAATTTTACAACTAGACTGTCTACCGTAGAACAGTAGATCAGGAGAGACACCCTTTGAGCTTCTTCGTAATGACAAGGCCTTAGCACTATTCCTATCCCAGTTACAACTGTCTTATTTCTACTCATTAAAAAACAGGGGGCTGCTGATGGAAATATTCCATTTATTGTGGATGCAGTTTCAGAATACATTGTTTGAACAAATCATTTTTATTGCAGCTATTGGATGTATTTGAAAGACTCAGAGGAGTGTTTACAAAACCCCCAAACAAAAAACATGACAACTCACAGACAATGTCAGGCACAGTTTCACCTCCTACAGATAACTACGTGCATGTCTATATGTAAACAGGATGTTTCAAGCAAGCAGGGGATCTCATCTTTGGGTTGAAATACAACATTATTCTTCTTAAGGAAGGAGTCAGATGCTGTAAGAGGTGGAAGTGGTGAAAAGGGAGATCCTGGTAGTTCTGGTGCACAACAAAGCTGTTAACAATATGCTCAGGGGCTACTTCAGTTGCTTGGTTTATGCCACCCATACACTGTAGGATGTAAATGCTGAACTGCATGGCATGTAAATTCAAAACAAGCTGATGTCTTATAGCTGTGTGTTTACTATATACAAATGAAAACATCTGTAAATAAGATACTTGGGAAAGAGAGTTAAAAAGAAGCACTATAAAGATAGAGGTTTACTTCATTTTCAGTGGACTTAGTGTACGGCACTGATGGATGGCAAGATCTAGTGTACAGTCATTTGAAACAAGCTCCAACTGTGTTTAGGCTTTTTTTCTTTTTCATTATGGTAGCTTTATATAAATTAAACTACAACGTTTTATACAAGTGACCTATTTTTGACCCTCTATACCCTTACCTTTTCCTCTTTTAAAAACTATACTTTCTTTTTAATCACCCATTACTGGGCAACTGACATTTAAAAATTTTTAATACTTATCTCACCATACCTCTAATGGCAATTATGAAATCTTACTATAGAAAAGTGTGTGATTCTGTATTTATCTTTTTAAGCTGTGATATTGGCTAATTATGTATGTTTATTACTAAATATAATACTCTAGCACGTATTAAAGCATTCTACCATTAGTAGTGCCTTTAGGCTAAATTTTGTAAAGCTATGTGTGTATATATTCTAAATTGCATTCAATTACTAGTCACTAACAACAAAAAGAAATATCAGTACCGCTGTCAGCTAACATAATTACCCAAATTTAAGTATTAACTTAAACTAGAATGGAAAAATTGATACTTAAAAAAAGTATAAAACAAAAAAATTAAAACACGTTATTGATGCAGTATTTCTCATGACATGGGCAACTTACAGAAAATATTACATTGTCAACTAAAGATATTTCTTCCATGCCTTAGTCTAAAGTGCAGAAAGAAAAGACTTCTGTATTACAAAAGTAACCATTGTTTTTATAGGTTTACTGCACACCTTTCTTAAGCAACTTCACTTTACACACATTTTGGGTTGACTTCTTTTGCCAGTTGAAATCACTGTTCAGATACATAGTTATGACTATCAGTAGGAGAGTCTATATATTTCACAGCATGGGTTTCTTTAGGAATAAAGGCTCTTGTGCAAAGGCAGTACTATTACGATGAATGTCTAGACTGATTATTAAATACAGTGCTAATATACATGGTTTTAACTGGGATAATGCAAAAAGACATTTTGGTAAATAAACATAAATATAAAAAGAACAATTTAGCACTTTTTCCTTTTTTTTCCCCAACTGATTGGTCCAGCGCCTTTAGTGGCCTTCTACGGTTCTTTCTCAAATTGTCTCAAACCTGCTGAGAAAGAGAAAGATTAAAGATGGCTTGAAATAACCCAAACACATCTCTAAAATAGAAATGGCATGGCTCTAGATTAACACCATGTAACAAAGCAAGACACAAGCTGGATGGTGCCGTGGCTCATGTACTGGGCTTGCTCAGAGCTGGTCTCCAAGAGGACATACAGAATTTCACCTCTCTCACCTCCAACAGCCCCTGGAAACAGCTCAGGGAGTGCTCAGGAGCTTCCCACTCAGAAAAGTCGTGGGTGCTGCACCTAGTGCTCTACTCAGCCACGTGAGGTTGGTTGCTGTGATGAGCTGTTAAGGTGAGCTGTGCTGCAGTGCTTGGTGGACACACACTGAGCCCATGGCAAGACTCCTGAGAGCCTCCTCCTCATCTCACTCAGGCTTAGAGTGTCTGAACCACTCAGCTGGGTCTGCGACGACACATGACTGCTGACACCTTTCGCAGGAATAGAGCTGTGCTAAGTCCGTGCGAGCCAAAAAACCCCTGTCCTAACAGCTCAGTTCAAAAAAGGAGAAGAAGAGGAGGAAAACAATTCTCTTCTGCATGACTCTAAATTGATAAGAAAAGTTCACAGGCATACCATACCTCTGGCTTCACATATGAATATGCACACATTTTTCTTCACATATTAATGTATAAAAAAATTAAAGTTTTTCCGTATTTTATCATTTCATTCCTAATGAAGACTCAAGGGATGTTGCAAGGCATCTATAATGCTATTAAATTAATCAGTAAATTTCCATTCTTCCCTGCTGCTCCTTAGAATCATAGAATCAACTAGGTTGGAAAGGACCTTTAAGATCATCAAGTCCAACTGTTACTCCAGCACTGACAAGTCCACCACTAAGCCACGTTACTAAGGGCCTTGCCTACACTGCTTTTGAACACTTGCAGACACATAATTTCTTTAATTAGCTTTATTTGGAGTGATTTAGATTAAAATAAAAATTAAGAAAGCTAGGAGAGCAATTTTGCCCATTTCTTTCTGTACAACTAGGTTATCTTTCCTAAACTAGTAGTTTCAAAATGACAGTAGTGTGCCTTGGGAAGACACTGATGCACAGCTCCAGCAAAACCAGTCCTGCTGCAGAGTGCATTTGAACTCCAGCTCAGTCTGGGTGTGCAGGAGCACATGGAGCTCACAATGAGCCAGAGGAATTATTTCTAAAAACTCAACACTGCTGAGTTTTCATCAGGCTTTAGCATTACCCAGTGGCAGTGTTCAAAATCAGTTGCAGGGCTTGTTCTCAGTAGTAGTCCTGAAATCTTTCTGCTCAGATAATGTTTCTGCAATAACCTCATTTTCTGGGTTCTCTCTGCTCATGAAAGGCATATTAATTGCTGCTGCAGCCTTAAAAGAGCCTTTCCCACATGCTTTGCCTTTGCTGTAATTAGTTAAATGACCATCGCGTTCTTCAGACCTCACACAGTTTAATGATACTCTCCAGCTATAGCAAACATGCTACACGTGTCACTTGAACAAAGCTTTGCAATCGTGGCTGGAGCACTGCTAGTCCTCAGTCTTCCTAGAAAGATGATTTATTTCTCAAACAGTCATATTTTGGTGATATTGAAATGGAGCTTTTGAAAGGCTAAAGACAAAAAGGTGGGGTTTTTTTTGCATCAATATTAACAGCTATAGAATTTTAAAACACAGATATGCCTGTGTGAAAACGTGGCAATGCTTCTATTTAACACGCAGATGTATTATTAGAATTACTTACCATTAGTCTCTGATTTTTTCCCCATAGCTGATACCTGTTTGAAAAAGTCATAACCCATTATTAAACTTAAATATGTGAAAACATAGCTATTTGTAACAAGAAAAAAAAATCAACTCCAAGCAAATGACAGACTTCCACACACAACACTGCCTTTAAAAAGCTGCCAAAAAGGAATGAATATAAAAGCTGCACACTGCCCATGGCTTTCTGTACCTCACTGTACTTTCTTGTATAGATAAAAAGGCAGTATAATAAACATGTAGAGGCCTAATTCCAACTGATTGACCGTACGAAGGTGAAAGGCACCTTCCCTCTAGAAAGCCTCCCTTAGAGCTATTATCCTTTTAACAATACACTGAAGTGTTACCTTAGAAGAAGGAGATGGCTTTTCAACTGACTGCTTCTCCCAGAGATTACGTTTGCCGGACACATCTCCCGGTTTTAAATCCTGTGTTTTAAAATTAATGTCAGAGAACATAAACCAACATTAGTTCAGGTTTATTTTAATTTGTTAGAGAAGTTAAAATGTCACTTCCTTATAAAAAAAATTGAGGTGTATCCACAGAGTCTATCAATGTGTCTACACAGATACATGCTTTATGGCAAAAACCAGTCCTGCTGCATCTATTCTTAGTATTGCATAGACTGGCCATAACTTATTACGCTCATCCTAAGGAGTACAGTGAAAAGTTACTGCACAATTGGGTTTTTAAGACAGACAATTCCAAATTGGGGG